GTCGTAGTAGTAGTAGTCGCAGTCGTAGTAGTAGTAGTAGTAGTAGTAGTAGTAGTAGTAGTAGTAGTAGTAGTAGTAGTAATAGTAACAGTAGTAGTAGTCGTAGTAGTAATAGTAGTAGTCGTCGTCGTCATCGTCGTAGTAGTAGTAGTAGTAGTAGTCGCTGAAGTAGTCGTAGTCGTGCTCGTAAGAATAATCGTAGTAGTCGCAGCCGTAGTCGTAGTAGGAGTAGTAGTAGTAGTAGTAGGAGTAGTAGTGGTAGTGGTCGTAGCAGTAGTAGTAGTTATCGTAGTCGTAGTCGAAGTATGGGGTCGAAGTAGAAATGGTAGCCATAGTAATATCAGTAGTAGTAGTAGTAGTAGTAGTAGTAGTAGTAGTAGTAGTAGTAGTAGTAGTAGTCGTATTGTAGTAGTAATAGTATAGTAGTAGTAGTAGTAGTCGTAGTAGTAGTAGTAGTGGTAGTAGTAGTAGTAGTAGTAGTAGTAGTAGTAGTAGTACTGGTCGTAGTCCTAATAGGAGTAGTAGTAGTAGTATTAGTATTAGTCGTAGTAGTAGTAATAGTTGTAGTAGTCGTAGTAGTACTTGTCACCGTAGTAGTAGTCGTAGTACTTGTACTCGTGGGTGTAGTAGTAGGAGTTGATGTAGCAGTGGTAGTCGTAGCCACAGTAGTCGTAGTAGCCGTAGTAGTCGTAGTAGTAGTAGCAGTAGTAGTAGTAGTAGTAGTAGTGGTAGTAGTAGTAGTAGTAGTAGTAGTAGTAGTAGTTGTCGTAGTAATAGTAGTAGTCGTCATAGTAGTAGTAGTAGTAGTCGTAGTAGTAGTAGTAGTAGTAGTAGTAGTAGTAGTGGTAGTGGTAATGGTTGTTGTAGTTGTAGTGGTCGTAGTAGTCGTAGTAGTAGTAGACGTAGTAGTCGTAGTAGTAGTAGTAGTAGTAGTAGTAGTAGTAGTAGTAGTAGTAGTAGAAGTGGAAGTAGTAGTCATAGCAGTAGTAGTGGTAGAAGAAGAAGTAGTAGTAATGGTAGTAGTGATAGTAGTAATAGTAGTCGTACTCGTAGTAGTAGTAGTAGTAGTAGTAGTAGTAGTAGTAGTAGTAATAGTAGTAGTAGTGGTAGTAGTAGTAGTAGCCGTCGTAGGTGATTAAGTAGTAGTCGTAGTAGTAGTATTATCATCAGTATAGTAGTATATCGGAGTAGTAGTAGTAGGAGTAGTAGTAGTAGAGTAGTAGTGTAGTCTAGTAGTAGTTAGTAGTATTAGTGAGTATAGTATAGTAGTCCGTAATACTCGCATAGTCATAGTAGTAGAGTAGTGTAGTATCTAGTAGTAGTAGTAGAAGAAGAAATGTATTGTACGTTGTGTAGAGTAGTAAAGTGATTAGGTAGTAGTAGTATTAGTAGTAGTAGTCGCCGTCGTAGTAGTAGTAATCGTAGTAGTAGTCGTTGTAGTATTAGTCGTAGTATTAGTAGTAGTAATAGTAGTAGTAGTCATAGTAGTAGTAGTAGTAGTAGTAGTAGTAGTAGTAGTAGTAGTAGTAGTAGTAATTAACCAGCTGCCTCGATCATGTTAACTCCCGTCCGCAGGTTACCAGGTCCTCCTCCTCCTCCGCCTCTTCCTCCTCCATGCCACTGTCGAGAACTGCTGGGGGCTCCAGAAAAGTGCTAATGCACGGCCGACTTCCAGGGTGCTAAGATAACGCTTCCGGGTGCTGGATGCATGTTCGTTTCACCGGAGGGGGGGGGTCTTAATTGCTTCTTGAAGTAAGTGAAAGGACGGGCCCTCAGAAGCGCCCCGCCCCGCTGCCAGCCGACCCAGGCGGATGGAGCGCGTCGTAGTGCACTCCGCCCTGGTAGAGCACGTGGACCGTCTTCGTGGCATTCTGGCTGTCGAAGCAGGAGATCCTCTTGTACTCGCTCGCCCCGAAGCTCCTGGAGGTCTCGTAGACGTGGACGTTGACATTCTTCATCAGGGCGAAGCATGCCATCTCGATGCCGCCGCCCCAGCCGCTCACCGCGATCCTGCGCGCGTAGTCCCTGACGGAGTTGTTGGAGTCCCACTTGACCCACTCCTCCAGCGTGTCCCCCGCGATCTGGAGGCTGGGGTTCTGCTGCAAGAACTCGGCGATCTCTCGGCGGAGCCCGCTAGCGGTGCCGCCGCCGCCCAGCCCGTAGTTGAGCGAGTGGAACAGGCAGCTTCCGTCCCCGGGCTGCCGGATGACCCTGGCGGAGCGCAGGACGAAGTCGCCCCCGCTGCCGCCCATCTGGTGGGGGCCGCCCTTCTTGCCGCAGCCGTAGTTCACCCACGCGTCCTTGTGCTTCTCGCGGATGCCACGGAAGTGAGGGCACTGGTCGGTGCTGTGCCTCCCGTCGCACTTGTCGCACGTGGAGCTCGCGCTGCCGCCGCTGCTGCCGGGCTCGCTGCCGAAGCGGTCGCCGCCCGCGGCCGCCACCCTGCCGGCGCCGGCGCCCACCGCCGCCGTGCTGCGGCTGCGATTGGCGGCGCCCTCCCCGAACTGCCGCATCGGCAGCGGGTCCGAGACCTATAGAGGCTTCCCAAGCGGTGTCCGAGCAGATGGGGTCGGAGGATCGCGCCGCATCGACGATACACCAGCCACGCATCGGAGCTGCATCGCCGACGTCGCCGATGCCTCGGCGACGCCGGCGCGAGGCAAGTCGGGGTCCACCTCGAGCCGCATCGCCGATGCACTGGCGACGCGGGGCGACCCCTCCCCAGACATGCGAAGTCCTGATTTTTTCAGTGCGGCGTTCCTGGAAGTCCCGACCCTTTCCCTGGGGCCAGTTTTTCACCCTGCATCGTTGTTTCACGGTCCCAGTGTCCGGCGAGGGCCTCCAGACGCCGAGCACGGCGAAAAACAAACCCGTCCTGCTTGTTGCTCCGCCGCGAGCATGTCTGGGTCGACCCCCTGCATGCTCGGAGCCCCCTTGGGAGGCGCCGGGGGACCCCGGCCCTGCCCTCGGCCGCCGTGCGCCCGTAGGGCGGCAACGGCGGCCCGGCGCCCGTGGCCGCGGGCACGGCGCGGCCCGCGGCGCTGCCGCCCTGGCTCAGCGCGTGCTGGTGCGCCGGCTCGGGCCAGCGCGGGTGGCCCAGAGCGTAGTACGGCTGCCCCGCCGAGCCGGGCGTCGAGGGGCGCGTGGCGATGCGGCTGCCTGGGGGCACCGACCGGGAGGCGACGGAGCCGTGGCCGGCGTGGCCCGCGTGGCCGGCGTGGCCCGCGCCCCCGGGCGGCGGGGGCAGCGGCGGCGGCGGCGGCATCTGCCCCATGGCCCTCGACCCAGCGGAGCGCATGCCGGCGGGGGGGCCGCCGTAGTGGCCGCTGGTGCGCTCGCTGCGCTCTGGCGGCGGGCGCGGGCCCGGGCGCGCAAAGCCGGCGCCCAGGGCGCCGCGGTCGCTGGGCCCGGCGCCCAGGCCGCTGGGGCCGACGGGCGGCCGGTACCGCATGGTCGCCTCGCCAGCGTAGCGGGCCGCCGCCATCGGTGGCGCGGCAGGGGCGGGCGCGACTGCGCCCTGGGCGCCGAGGCGAGAGCCGACATGGCTGCGGAGGCCTCTGCTTTCTCCCCGCCCACACCCTGCCCGCTCCTCCTCGCGACGCCTCTCCTCGTCCTCGCCATGCTCCTCCTGTTCCCTGCGCCTGGAATCCAAAAGCGCCTCCTCCACCTCCTCCTCCTTCCCCTCTCCTTCCATTCTCTCCTCCTCCTCCTCCTCCTCCTCCTCCTCCTCCTCCTCCTCCTCGTCCTTGCTTGCGCGTGCTTTGCATGCTAGACCCGAACTTTCTGGAAGCGCCTCTTCCTCGTCCTCCTCCGCGCTCCCGGTCCTCCACATCCTCCTTCTCCTCCTCCTCCTCATCCTCCTCGCGCCTTGCATGTTGTCTTCCCCCTCCGCCTCACGACGAGGACCAGCGATGGCAAACCCTTGATTCAAGGCCCTTGATTGGCGGGAACGCTGCGAATTGTCTCCTCCTCTTCCTCCCCCTTCCCCCCCTCCTCCTCGTCCTCCTCGCTCCTCTCCTCGCTCCTTCTCTTCTTCCTCCTCCGCACTCACGCCTCTCCGCCTCCTCGTCCTCCTCCTCCACCTCCTCCTCCTTCTTCTCCTTCTGGTCCCTCTCCCCCTCCTGCGGACGCAAAGGGAAACCCTTGCGCCGCCAATCCTGCGCCCAAGCCAGGCGGGGTCGCAGTCACCCGGTCTGCGCCCCGCCGCGCTGGCCGGGCCCTCGCTGGCGACCGGGCCTCCTCCTCCTCCTGTCCTCCTCCTCCTCCTCCTCCTCCTCCTCCTCCTCCTCCTTCTCCTCTCCTCCTCCTGCCACCTCCTGCACATGCTCTGTCCTCCTCCTCTCCTCCTCCTACTCCCTCCACCTCCTCCTCCTCCACCACCTCCTGGCACCATTCTCTGGTCCTCCTCGTCCTCCTCGTCCTCCTCGTCCTCCTCCTCCTCCTCCTCCTCCTCCTCCTCCTTTGCCTCCTCTGCACTCCCGCTCCTCCTCCGCCTCCTCCTCCTCCTTTTCCTCCTGCTATTCCTCCTCCTCCTCCTCCTTCTCCTCCTCTCCTCTTTGTCCTTCTCCTCCCCCTCGCGCGAACGGAGGGGGAGGCCCATGCGCCGCCAATCCTGCGCCCCTGTCGGGCGGGGTCGCAGTCACCTGGTCGGCGCCCCGCGCAAACTGGCCGAGCCCTCTAGGCAACTGGGGTGGCCCCTTCGCTGGCGACTGGACTTTCTCGTCCTCCTCCTCGTCCTCCTCCTCCTCCTCACTACTTTGGTCGGACTTTAGGTGCTTTGCTTGTCGCGTCCTGGATAAAAAAAGAAGTAGCGATCCGTCTCAGATCAGGTGGGAACAGGTTCAGGCTGCAGGTCAGCGCGGAAATCCGTGAGGCAAATCGAGCTGAAAAATGGGAGTGCCTGTGAGGGCGCACAGAAACTGAGCGAGCGCCCAAAGAGGCACCCCGAGGCACCCAAGACGCTCCAAGAGGCCCTGGGACCGCCAAGGGGCCTCACGACG